CATCAATTACCCATCTCTAACATATGTACACAGTTTCTTAGCATGTTTAGTTTGTTGGTGAGAGGCACAAAAGTTAGAAGTGTTTTGCGTATTTGGTGATTTTCTGCTATCGAAAAAGTTGTTCAAATTTGCATCGTGAAAAAATGGAAGTAGATGCTTAAAAATTCTTGAACTGTTGACAGTGGCAAACGGTGATTGTACTCTGAGTCAGCAAAATGTTTACAAGTGATACAAACATTTCACAGAGAGTCAAGAAGATGTGAATGATGATGCTCATCATGGACCCCCCAGAACATCAACAACCAATGAAAATGTTGAGAAAGTGAAGAAAATTGTTATGGAGAATCGTCGACTCACTTTTACAGAAATTGTCACCTATTTTCATTTGGTGGTCTACTCAGGCAATACCAATTTTATTGTTACAAAAGGTTCACAAATTCTCCATGAACAAGAGGTAACATGGGCAACGAAAAATAATTCACCTTTAAAGGCAAAATAGGTGTCATTACTTTGGGTAAGGTGCAAGAGAATTTCTGTGTTTGTGAGAATACTCAGAATTGTATGCTGAATCATGTTCTAATAAAATGCTTGAGACACTTTAGATTATACATTAACGTGAACTCCACATATTGAAAGTCTGTTGAATATGTACTATCCAGCTATACACTGTTACCTCAGATATGGAATTTCATATCGGGGTACTGAAAATCATTCAGTAAAGGTTTTGATCCTTCAGAAGAGGGCTATTAGGATTATTACCTAGATAGGCTGCAAGCAGACAGGTAGATACTTTCCAAAGGTTTGGAATAGTTACTGTTGCTAGTCACGTCTATTTTGACGTTTTCTTTGTTGTGCACTGTATTTTCTTTTATTATGTAGTACTTTTCAGAAAATTAACGTGTTAACCACCCTAGGATTAAGTCAACATTCAATATCCAACAATCTTGGTTTTCATCATACTTTGGCCCCAACTCAAATCATGGAGTTCCTTGGTCAAAAAAGCTATATTTCTGTTTTCATTACGATTACAGTCATAGGAACGATAATACTAAATAATTTAGTAGAAGTCATCAATTCAAACAGGTCCTATAATGAAGATCATACCAAATTTCCTTTCCTAATGGTCTTTTAAATGCCAAAATATTTAAAAAAAAAGTTAGTAGCTGATATATAGGAGAGACAAACAGTGATATCTTTCGCGTCACTTCCTCAAATAATTTGATGATATATTAGTAAAGTGTTTATAAAACTTTTCACACAGTAATTTGAGGTTCTGTTCTGCCTTATAAATATTCATCATTTTCATTGATATGTAGTTCCACCTAACTGGACTATTTTTTTTATAATTTTGGGTGTCATCTCTATGATAATGAGGTGTGTGCTTATGGTGGGCTGATCAAGGCCTGTAAAGGACAAGGATACAACCTGACTTGGTCCTGCAGAGGATTGTCATTTCGATTCATATTTATGATAAACCAAAACCTATGATTACAGTCCACTCAAGCATATTATTATAACCATATTATCAAACCTTCTTGAGACACACTTCTTTTTTTTTTCAAGAGAAAAATAGGCTATTGTACATGAGTTAGTCGACAATCCAAAGCCAGAAAAATATAATAACGAGATGAATAGTGGTGTTACCAAACCTCGACTGCCCTGAAGAATCCTACTAACGTGTTCCCGACACCGGAACGAAAAACGATCGCTGTTAATATCGTTAATACCTATGAATACATCATTACACTCACAAAATTTCTGTCCGGTATCGATAATCGTCGACGTCGAACAGTTCATCACTAGATCTTTGAGGTACTCCTGCCTGGTGCGGGTGGCCATCGTGACGAACTTTTCCGAACGGTGAGCAGCGTTTTCAGCATTCACAAGCTTCGCGAGTAGGAACTCGGCGAATACTTTGCCTTTGGGAAAGATGCCCCCCTCTTTGATCGGAGGGCCGAACGCTTCGACGTCCTTGGATCGGCTGACGGCTACTTTGTAGTGGGTGTTCTCCGTGCACGGGTTCATGGCGTTGACGACGACAAAGACGTGCTGGAACTGGGATCGGATGCCCTTCGGAGTGAAGGGCAAAGCACCGGGCTCTTGGAAGACGATCGTCACGATGTCGTTGCCGATGTGGCGCTTCCTGAGAAGCTGCTGGCGGTTGTTCGGAGTGAAGGGCAGCATCGTCGACACGTGAAACATTATTTCGCAGTCTTGATATTGCGCGTACACAGAATACAGACCAGTTGAGTCGCCTGAAACAAACGGTTAAATAGATCATCACCATCATCATACAATTTGTACTTTTATTTATTTATTTATTTGACACTTTGGTACATTGAGTACATGTGCTAATAAATAAATAAACAACCTCGATATATGCTCTCTTTGATATATGCATTCATATAAATATATGTAGCTTATGTGGAGATAAAAAGATAGATATTTTTGGTACTTACTTTTATTATCCAATCCGGCTTTATACTTGTCGAACCCGTTCAATCTAACCGTCTTTCCTATCGTCTCAAGGAACTCTAAGAAAGCCGGACCCGCTTCTTCGTTATTGTACATTTCTTCTTCCGTATTCTGTCCCGCCTTGCAATACATTATTCCTACTTTGTAGTGATTCGTCAAACCTTGCTCGTCGAGCTTGAGGATCTGATCGATAACCTGCTGATTGTGAACACCGAGCTTGAGGCAGCTCAACTGGATTTCCGGCGCAACATATTCGAGTACTTCTTTGGTATTTAATGTTTTTGGATTATTGGACGTTTTGATGTTTGGTATAGCATCTTCGAGGACGGCTCCGCGGAGGGTTTGGAGTTCGGAAGTTCGTATTACATTTCATTGAAACTGATATTGTTTTTGAAATCTCTAGAAACGGTCAACCTCATTGAATTCATCGAAATCCTGAGGATAACGCTATATTGGCGGCAAATCGAGAATATCCTATATGACCCTACGAGACTTGTCATCTCAATCAAATCAAATCCGAAGATGCTTCATTTACCACAAGATAGAGCCTTACAAACCCAAATTCTTGCAAACATTGAACAGAAAAAGATTAGATCAATGTTATTGGTCTAATGGTATTTTCTTGAATGACAAGACATTTTTGAAAAAATATGCTTACTGGTGGAAGTTACATTTACCCACTAATGGGTCAGAGAAAATTCTTACTGAATTATCAAGAGACTTAGGTTCTTCAAAATTCAATTACAATATTTGACCCTAATTGACATATACACACAAAGCAAGATAAATAAAAGCTTGAAAAAAATGAACACTGCTTGAAACTGTTGAAACAGATTAATAGACTACAGGCCCATGTTGAAAAAGTTATGGGTCATTTGAACCACCAGGTGACCTATCTAGAACGATATAAGAGCATAAAATAATAAGATTCAGCACTATGCCGTCACTTGTAAGCTGTCCAACTGAGTGCAGGTGAGAATTCAAAAGTACAGGTAGAGTGAGTACATTTTGGTCACATATTTTTGTACGGCATTCTTACCACCGATAGATCCATTAAAAATAATAAGAAAACGCGCAGTGCCGTAAAAAAATGGTGCGCCACAAAGTCGGAATTTTTTTCTATTTTCCGACAATTACTGGGGTAAATTTGGTCATTTGATTTTGTACGGCGGCTGTGTCATACTATTTCAATACTGCTTCTAATCCATTATTCCGCAACGCCGTACAAAAATCATGCGACAAGGGGAAAAAATCGAGGGTTGCAATCCCCTCTCTTTCCGTAGTCCAGGGGGTGATTTGACACAACATGAAATAAATTTATTTTGAAAGTATTTTATGCATAGATAATATGTATCAATAATGTTTGAAGTATATATTAAACCAAAAAGTATATAAAACTGTTGATACTGGGATTGACAGATTCAATTCTTGGACATAATATACACACCGTTTCAGTTCAGTTAGACGTCACAGTGATTTTATCGTATTATCAATTGTTCTCTTCAAAAATATGTTAATACCGTACTGTATCAGATGTCCATAAATTACCCTTAAAATTGTAGCGTCACTTTCATCAGCCTTAAAGATATGGTCTGCATAAAAATGTACGGCATCATTTTTTACTAATTTATCTATGTTAATACTATTTAAAACAAGGGATAAAATGTAGAAAACTGCTATATTTCATTAATCTATGATATTTAAACTTTTACAATAATTTGCAAAATTTCAGTTTTTGCATTTCTCTATAATTTTTTTTTAGAATGGTTTCTTTTGAACGGCAATACTATATAACAATTGTATTTTACAATATCATGTTAAAGAAAAGTTCCCGTACAGGATCAAATGACTTTACAGCTCTATAAATCAAGGATACGATGAAATTAAGATGATTATTGATATACATTCAAAGGAACAATCATTTTTTGACGGCATTACTTTTAATAGTACTTTTGAGTGCTAGATAATGTTTTGGAACCGAAGCCGTACTTTTTCAAATCACCCCCTGGACTACGGAAAGAGAGGGGATTGCTGCAACCCTCGATTTTTTCTCCTTGTCGCATGATTTTTGTAAAATTGGAAAATTGTATTAATGTGTCCAAAAACTGTGTTTCTAAAGACTGATAAATATTATTATTATTAATACTACTAACATTATCATCATTATTATGAGTTTTATGGAATTAGTCTGAATCAGCATTTAATATACTATTAACTGAACAGGACAATCATCCATCTGTTTGTGTTCATTGAGACAGTTTAAATCAGGTAAAATCAGAGATTTATTATGAATTATTTGAAATAGTATTTTCAAGAAACAGAAACTAGTGATTTTTCTATAAACTATTAAAGTCAACTGCTGTTTATCAAAGACGTAAGAAAGTAATTGAGTTCAAGGTTTCAGAAAATTAACCCAATGAATTGCTAAAAGCAATTATGTCTTATTTGCTAATTTTTTCAATAACTTAGGAGTTAATTAATCACCATCTGGAGTGAAATTTCTTCAAATAACTGTTAAGTGAGTAGTTATTTCATGAATGTCTAGGTCTGCGGTATTTCTAATTACTCCACAATCAATTGTTTTATCAGAAAAACTTACCTATACTGATACTGCATAAGAGTAGTAGTCATTTGATTTTCAGGGTGCGTAACTTTTTCTCTTTTTATAGAAATAGCTATAGGCCCCAGTTGATCGTCCATTCCAAACCAATTTTGATGTTCTGCAATTGAAGGACATGTTAAGCCTAATCATTTCATGAAATACAAATTCACTCAATTAACATAATTGTTTTCCGAAAATTCAAAACTTTGATAGGAAGGAATAACGAGAAAATGAAAAAAAATCTTTCGAGAAACTTCATACTAAAAGTAACAAGTAAAATAATCAGAGTTGCATCTAAAGAAATGATAGATAATAAGCAGTCTTTAGGAGGTTATTTGATACCTCTTAAAAATGTATGATTTTCATAGTTTTGAAGTAGAAAATAGAAAACTCTCCTACCTGGATAATAGCATCATCCAAATGAATGATAATCCTGCCAGGTTCTGTGATGTAGTGGAGAATTCACTACGTTATGAAAACCATATCTAAGAATGCACCAAAAAAAGCATTTTACATTTCTCTTGTATTATCAACTTTCACGGATTGTAAAATTATGGTATATGTATCATTTATAATATTTGTAGATGCATACCTATCAACCTCTTTTTTTATGTATATATTTCTACTGATTGTATGAGTATTTGCTTGCTGCTAAATGAAGATTATTATTATAATTGTTGTTATTATTATCCTTATGTAAGTTGTAGATGGTGTACGTGAAAATCCTGGAAAAGTGAAAACAATAACCCGAGTGGGGAGCGGAGAAATGGGTTAGATACTAGTTACAACTGGTATCTTTTCTATTGAAATGCTGGACAACAAAAAGGGAACAGAAAAATCAGTAAAAATGTTCATTTTTGGATATGTGACATCTACATACAGAGGTGATAAATTCCTGATGTAATAAGTTATTATTATTTTTAAGTGGTTTAGTGAAAAAACTACACAAATGTAAGGAATATTCATTATTGTTTTAAATAAGAATTACCTTTTAAATAAATTTTTATCCATCATTACTTTTGGTAGGAGTTCGGCGCCCAACATGTGGTCACTTTTGCCAAAAAGTTTAATGTCGAAACATATATTGGTGATAATGAAGCAATAGATGAAAAATATCCAAAACTCACCTTGACCGACAAAATAATTTCTATAATAGAGAGCCCCTTGGTCGACGTTCTCGATAGGTCTCGGGAACCGCTGGTACGGACAAGTAGAATGTCTCCAGTGCGTTTCCCCGGGCGGAAACTCCAAAACCGCCACGCCGTACGCCAACGGTGGCCTATGGAGCGGCTTCCTATTGTGTCCGTTTTGCAATCTGGACAAACTCACGATCCTCTCCTCTTCACCGCCAATCTCGTTCCTAAAGAACGGACAACTTTCGACGAGGCCATTACTCTGCCCGTCCCCGCAATCCTCGTCGTTGTCGCCGTCGGGCGTAGACGACCTAATCAGCATCGAAGCAGCCGAGGCTCCGGTGGCGGTGTTCCTACGTTTCGCGAGCAAGTTCCTCCTCAGGCGCACCGAGTAGTTCAGGTTCGTCATCAGCGATTGGCAGTCGAAGTGAGCGAATGCCCGTCTCCGGGCGATTTCTTCCGTCTCCGCAGAGAGGCACACCGACTGCGTGGAGCTACCTACGGCAGTGTCGTCCATGATCTGCCGATAAGTTTTCGAGTTGCCGGCGGGCGCCTGCGCGTTGTTCCAAAAGTGCTTCTTGAGCTTGTTGCGGTGCTTTGGACTCTGCGGGAGGTTTGCCTCGTCGGAATTGCCTTCGAGCTTGCCGCGCAGATACTCCGAGGGGCCCGGCGAGCGCTGATCCGTGCCTACGAGCCCGGCTGGCTTGTAGTCCTGCAGCATCTTGAAGAATGCATTCTGCGATATGCCAAGCGACCTGTAATTGAATCAAATGGTATGTGATATATCTGAGGGGAGGATGAAAACACAATTTTATCAACAGTATATCTTTCTACGGAGTAATAACTAAACATAGTTTAAAATAGATGTGTGCGTGTGAATGCATCAAAGTTGGTTTACAGAGGATTACAAAATAGTGCCGACCGAATGGAACCCAGAGGAAAGGAGATTTTATGACGTCATTGGAGGGAACTTGTTTTGGCCATACCGGCGTTGGCAGCCGCCACGGCTTCTCTGGGTGGAGCGCATCCGAAACGTCCAATTTTCCATGACGGCTGTGGTTTGTGGCTTATTCGCATACACCTGCGACTTGAGAAAACCTCACAAAAAAGTCTAACGGGGTCAAATTGCACGATCTCGGTGGCCAGTTCACATAACCTCCACGTGAGATGACCATGCCCTCAAATCGCTCGTTCAGAATATCCACTGAAGCATGAGCTGTGTGGCACGTAGCGCCGTCCTGTTGGAATCACATGTCGTTGGTGTCCAGATCATCCAATTCATGCCAAAAAAAGTTGGCAATCATCAACCTTTCCGTAGGTTGGGCTACCTATCGGGGGCGTCCCCAGGTGGAGGATAGGGGAACGGCCAGGGGACTGGAGGCCCTGTCCGGGAAGCCAACGTGGCTTTACGGACGGGGTTGCCGGACTCCTGGTCAGTGGCAGAAATAAGTAAGGTGAGGGGAACCGAAACTCCCCAAAAGCCTTTGCAAAACATGCCACCGTAGACCAGCCTACCCAAGCCAAAGTGTAAGGAATCGTGCCGACAGCTGAATGGCCGCAGGGTGATATGCGATTACGAACGATATCCTTGGTTAACTGGGCGAAATGGGCGAAACCTCATTGTAATCAACCTACCTCTGGTAATGCGGGGCTCTGCCAGAGATGACCAACTCTTCCCTTGCTACTCGTGGGAACACACATGAATGAAACAAACACAAAAACAGAAACAACAAAAACAAAAACCAATCCCGGGGCTGGACAGAAGTGCTCACCTCAATTTAAGGCGGTGGCTGGGGATGAACAGAAATGTCCACATCAATCTACTGCTTGGAATGAGGCTGGACATAGCAGATCACCTAGTGATGTAATGCAAAGGCCAAAGAGTTAATTAAAGAGTAATCGCCAAAATTCACGGAGTACCTACTAAGTCTGAATAGGCGATCAACTAGAGTTCTGGTCGGGCTATTGACGGGACACTGTAGACTCAACAAACACATGATCAACATCGGACTGGCAGACACAGCCCTATGCAGGCTTTGCCAAGAGGATGAGGAAACCTCTGTACACATAATATGCTATTGCGAAGGTCTGTCAAGGATAAGGTTTGCAACATCAGAGGAGGAAAAACCACAACCCTCTCAATATATGGGAAACTTGAGGTCTGGCCTACGGAGTCTAATGCAAAGGCCAAGGCGTAAGCGTATTGGCGGCGCCGAGGCCAAAAGGAGAAAGAGAGCGAAAGAGGCAGGAGTGGCAGCAACTATAAGCGCACCCTCCTCCTCCTCCTCCATTCCACCTCCAACAGCAAAGGCACTTCCTGCGGCGGGTGCCAAGAGCTCCGCCTTGAATAAAGGCAAGGAACCGGCTGCCCCTGCAGGAAAGCTCCCTCACTTGTGTACCTCCAAGGAGGGAACCCCAAGAAGGTTGAAGAAGCCGCACAACGACAGTAATATCGCAGCACCTTCCAAAACGTTCGCGGAGGCCACCGTGAGACATCTCTAGGCTGCCAAAGAGAGTGTGTGTTCGGCGAGTCTTGGCCTACATCTGCCAATATAAAGAAGATGTCTCCTAGTAATCTGTCCACCTTCCTGGAAAGAACAGGATGGACGATGACCTAGGAGGATAACTCCCCGGGAGGATGTACAATGGGTCACATGTGGCCTAAGTGCTGTGGGTCTATACTCACCCTCCCTAGAGGGCTGGCCTGGTCAACGTCGTTCTCAAAGAAATATGGACCGATGACGCCGCCAGCCCAAAATCCACACTAAACACGTACTTTTTTGGGATGCATTGGACGCTCTTGGATCTCATGTGATTGGGTATCGTCCGAAATTCGACAACTTTGTTCACATACCCATTCATCCCGAAATATGCCTCATCGCTGAAGATGATTTTCGATAAAAATTAGGTAAAGGACCATAGACACGTCGTTGTCTATGGTCGTTTACCTTTAGTTCTTGGGTCGGTTGAATTTTGTACTGGTGCAGGCTCAAGTGACGACGCAAAATTCGCCAAGTTGTGGTCTGCGAAAGGCCGAGTTCTTGTGAGAGACGCGAAATCGACTGCCTCGGGATTTTCCTGCACACTCTCACAGATAACGGCGATGTTTTCGACAGGTCTTGCCTTTCGTCGACTTACGGATGTTGGTCGATCGTTTACAGAACCAGTGGACTCAAGTTCATCCACCACATTGCGAATAGTCCTCTCGATAGGACGATTTTGGCGATTTTGGGTGTATGCTCAAGTCACGACCGAAACAGGTTTATTATTTGCACGTGTTGTTGGATGCTATATCCGTTTGCGGTGATTTGGGAAAACAGACCGAATAAATGATAACTAATTTGACAGGTGTAGCTTCAAAAAGTTGGCCGTTATTAAAGTCAGAGTTCGGAAGTCACTGTTAGAAAACCTTATAGTTCAAATAGTAATTCTAAGATAATCTACAATTGTCAACCACCTAGTTTCAACATGTTTCAAGAATTACAACTTAGTAAGCTTAAGGACCTCCTAAACACACTTCAGTTCTGCTGCCTTCACAGATAAAAGTCGGCAAAACATGTGTAAATAAAATATTTTATCCGTCATATGTCATTTATCAACTAGGTACAAGCAATGGGCCATATCGGATAGGGATTTCATTTGGAGCACATACATTTTTTTTGAGTTGGCTACCTTGTATATTTGTCATTGGTGCCAGTTGTCATGTTAATTATTCATGATGTTACTTCAACTGAGTACAATGACAGCAGCAAATAAAACTCAAAAATTAACAATCCTACATACGGCAACCCTTATCGATATGGTCTATCGAGTATAGGAGTATAGACATGATAATAGATATATGAATAGCTGATCAGGGAAACAATAGAGCGATAAAGTAAGTGCAAACGGGTTAGTACACGCGGCTTGAAATAAAACAATAAAACAAAACATCAAAGCAACAAGTTTGATCCCCAATACCTGTCAATGACGTCGATGGAGCCGTGGCTGCCGTATTCGCGCTTCAGCAGCGGCGAGCCGGGATTCGACAGCTGATTCGTATACTCGAGCAGCTCCAAACTCGAGTTGCTGCGACTCAGGTGCTCGGGCTGCAGCAAGAGGTGCGCGCGACGCGACGACGATTCGTTTCGGCGGTGCCTGTCGTTGAACGAGGATCGGTTGGTGGAGGTGGAGAGGCCGGCGTTCGCCCAAGCGCGCTGCACATGAGTGTTGTAATAGTCGACAGCCAATGCGGCGCGCTCTCGTATTGGAGTCGTCGTTGCGGACGGGGGCGCTCGCGGCGGCGCTGGTCCGCACTCTTGCAATCCGATCATCCCATCACGCTGAAACAAAAGAAGACGATACAGTACGAGTCGATGATCTATCTCTAAAACTCAAATTCTCTTCGGGAGTGATCAGAAACAGCTCCGATTTTGATGATTTGTTCAAATTTTTGTTTTTATACATTATTTGAAATGCAGACGGGCATGGTTTTTTTTTGGAAAAAATTCTTCGTATATCAATTGATGAAATACTATGCCTAAAAGTACCGTGAATTGTTAATGAAACGTAAAATATGTATTATTCATCCAAAATCAATAAAAGTAGGCCCTTTCCGAAATAATACACATATGCCACTTAACAACGCAACCATCAAAAAAAAATTTTTGCCCAGTTTTTTGATCGACATCAGTATTCGCTGCAAATTCTCTTTCATGTCATCTATCGGACAAAATTGGGTGCCTCGAAGTGGTAATTTGAATTTTGGAAAAAAGAATGACGAGAGCCATATCAGGTGAATGCGGTGGTTCTTCAATACGGTTTGTTGAGTTTTCGACGATAATTTCTTTCGGCGAGGTTGCTCTTTCAAACGCCGCTTGACACTCAGTTGATATTTTTTATTTACTATCTCACCTTATATCTAGACTTCGGGGTGCACCTCCACTTTTGATCCACTTTGAAGAACTTTTTTCTTATTCGAGTCAATTGAAAGGCGTCATTTCGAAGCTGATTGACTGGTTTGCATATCAAATTCGTGAAAATCAAGTAGTTTTCATAAAAGAGCTCTAAAACAACGCATTTTAAACTTATCATTTCATCCTTTTTCTTTAAAAAATTATTTGAATACTTAAAAAAGAGGAATGAAATAATAAATTCAACATTTAAAGGGATTCGTTCCTATTTCACCATTTGGCATCATCGCTTATAGCTAATAGAAGACAATGAATCTGTTACCTGTATGAGACAAACAAAGATGACATATTTCAGAGGCGTGCTGTTCTGTTTACTTGTGTTCCGATAGGTTAGGTGCACAAAATGTCACATGTCACATATGACCTAACCTATCTTCCTCTATATAAATAAATAACAAAACAACTGTTGTTTATGTGGCTTGTGGAGATGGTATTGAACTATAATTCATATTTTGCCTTAATTGTTGATTTATAAAGATAATTTTCCTTTTTAAAAGTAGAATATCTAGGTACGTACTAATTAATTTTAACTTTATATAGGCGCTGTTGCCAATATGTGAATTAGAAACAATTCCCTTTGAAAATTAAAACGCAACATTTGAAACATCAATTTGAATACTTTTCGAAGTGAATTTTGAAAACTTATGAATTAAACTCAACTTTATTTTGTTCAAATTTGCATTTGCTGTAATAACCTAAATTGAGGAACATTCCCCATTAAGAGTACAATGCGGTTTATGACCAGCGACCTTTACGCGATTGGATTTGTGCAGAAAATTCAGGTCTTTTGGTGCTAGTCGAGCGAAACGCATTTCATACCTGAAAATCGTTTGAAATGGTACGAACTGAGACAGAAATATCAGCGACTACCTTTCTCAGACCTAAACGTACGTACGTGTTTTCAGTGCTTTGACACACGAAATTTCATTTGCATTGAAAAATTCAACACAATTTCATTGTCCGATATTTTCATCTATTGTAAAAATCGGAAAACACGTATTGTAAAAAAATCGAAATGGCGGATGGCGCACTAACTCCGCGTGAATATATATGACAGTTATACCAACCTAGTTAAAAAAATAATTTCGACAATATCTTCTCGTTGGCCTTTTGAATAAGGGATTCATAACAAGGTCATCGATTATATATTTTTTAAACTTATGTTCATATATATCGGCTGAACCTAAGAGTTCTCTTTTACTGAGTTATCTAGAATGTTTGTTTTCAAATGCAACCATTCTAATGGTCAACTTCTTGTCCAAATCTGGCAATTCTTCAGACATCTGCAGATATATCTTAATGAAAGTCTCCAATTGGCTTAGAAACAAAAGTTGAGAGGTCACCTTCAACAATTCCTTCAAAACTTCCTAAATGTGTGATTGAACAGCAACGCCCTTCTCCTGGGGATGCAGTAAAACCAGTGGAAACCCTTCCTCATGTGCCTGCCGCATATTGATACCCGTGTTTTTCATTTAACCATGTTTCTTTACTTTTCTTTCATAGGTTTTCGTGTACTCCCTGAATATGTTCTCCTCCATGCCACACTACCATTGCGTTCTAATAAAATTGATTTTTCCATTGAAAACCCACTTGCGCCTTATTTTCTTATAAATATCCAATGTTGGTCGACTTGGAGATGCCATTGGTGGTTTAATAGCCTTCTGCTTGCACTCTTTCATTATATTGTGAACGTTTATTTTTGGAACAGCTAGCTTTGTAGCACAAAGTTTCACAGTATCGTCTACACTCGTACTGCCACTGGACTGACATGGAAATTTTGAGTTCTATGATATACTTCATGTCATGTTTTCATGTTCTGAGGTACTGAGCACGTGTGCTTTCACCTGTTGAATCAATATACTGCCTCGTCCTCGTAATGTTTTATAACAATTTGATATAAATATCTCTTTATTTACAGAAAAAGTACCAGAACGCAAATCAAATATACTTTATTGTCAGAGGATGGATGCATCTTATAGACAAAGACTTAATAATAAGTCTACTGGCAAAATTAGAACATATGATACTGGCAAAAAGGGAACATATAAAAACATACAAATAGTTGAGCAAATACAATGAATATGGTAAGCTAATGAATGTGGGTTTGTAGAATAGATCATATAACAAGATGATCATACAAATACTCCTGAACAGTATAATGGGCCCTGTCAATATAAAGCATTTCAACTGCATTTCTAAATCTGTTGAGCGTTCTTATTTATTTAGTTTCAGCTGGAATATGATTGAAGAGTTTGATCCCATTGAATATAATTGAGTCTCTAACTGAGGAATTCGCGGGAATAGTCATGTCACTATCGTTATTGTGACTACGAATATTGTATGCAGAAAGGGGGGGGGCACACAAGATGAATATGTTTTCTTTATTAAGCACACAGTTTCCAAATTGAATGAGGCAGCTACCGTCAAGATACCGCAAGCTTTGGAAAGAGATGGAACAGTGTACAAAACTCAGCAACTTTTGATGCTGAGCTATGATCAGACCTTCTTTGGAGTATTGTTAACATGTATAGAGGCCCGCCTCTAAGCATACCCTGAAGCTGTTGGATCCATCCAGAAAAGTGCCATTCGCCTGATTGGAGACAAGAACATCACTAGTATCCTTGACAGTCTGGTACAGAAAGGTTGAAGATTTGTCTCTGTTTCATAGATATTTTCACAGTAAGTGTTCAAGTGACTTGGAACATTTGATTCCATCAAAAGCAGTACATATCAGAAATACCCGACGGACTGCGGCTGCTCATCGTTTTGAGGTTCAACTCAATATACTGTTTACGAAATCTTTCATTTAGAAAACTGCGTTTATGTGGAATAAACTTCCGGAGAACGTTTTTCTAAATGGATTTAATCTCCAGCGATTCAAATACAAAGAGAATCGCCACTTTCGCACAGGCACTGTTTTTAGATCACCTTAAGGATTTTCCTGCAGTGCTTCTGTCTTTTCCTTAAAAAAACATGTATCGGACAATCCTTTTTTGAAGCACGAAAACCATTTGAAATAAATCTACTGAGCAAACTCCCCAGAAGGAAATTTCATACCTCATATGGGGTCTATGAGAGCACAATTGTGGAGTTGGCCGCGGTGGTAGTGCGCCCGACTCACAATCGGAAGATCGTGGGTTCGATTCCCGCCTCGACCAGATATTTTTCTCGAGAGAATGTATATGGCTGAAGCGGGAATGATTCCACAACCGTGTTAGAAATCACACGTTAAAAGGTAAGACCTCGTTAGTCCTTAGCTCGCACAAGTTTCTCAACTTCTGAGAGTTGTCGTTCGTATGGGGGGCGACAGCTGATTAACGGTAAAACAGATTTAAAAACAGATTTTTTAAAACAATAGTTTGTTTTTGAATGTGAATAGCCTATTTCTGAAGAGATGTCTCTTGGTGCATAGTAAACTGGGGCAAGCTTCCTGGTTAAGTTCATTGTGTAATCCATTAACTTAAATTTATCGTGGATATCTTTCAATTATTTCATTACACAGGCAAGTCTCAGGTAAGTCACAGCGGTTAGTAAGTACGATTGTTTTATTACTCACTCTCTCAGAAGTTGTATATGAAATTTTCTCATTTAAATTCTCGCTTAACACTATATCGAACTTAACAATCTAAACTGTCAGGGTGTTAGGCTGTATTATTCTACTGTGGTGTTAGTATGAACCTGCAAGGACAGAGGGCTATAAAAATATCATTAACTAAATCTTTTCGGGTACTACACCTTTTATATATTTACGGTTGTCAGAGAAATAATAAATATCAGTAATTGGGGATACCTTCAATATCTTTTATCTTTATGATTGACTTTATGATTCTGTTGGAGAAGAAATAACAAAAAAAAATGGTCATTTGAAAGTGGTTGACAATATTTCATGGTGAATTTTATTAATGAAGAAACTTGTTTGAAATATTTTTGATTTATTAATTTTTGTTTCATTTTCAAGTGTTCAATTTTCAATTTTTTGCTCATTTGCATTTTATTGTGATTTTATTTCACGGTTTATTTTTGTGTAACAAACGGAATTAGTGCTCGAAAACACTTGAGATGTTGACAGTGGCATACGGTGATTGTACTCTGAGTCAGAAAAATTTTCACAAGTGGTACACGATTTTCACAGAAGGTCGAGAAGATGTGAAAGTCGACGCTCGCCCTGGACGCCCGAGCACATCAATAACCTACGAAAATGTTGAGAAAGTGAAGAGAATTGTGCAACTGCGAAATTCATTCCGAAATTGTTAAATTTAACCAAAAAACCCGTCGCATAAGCATCGTTCAGGAATTGGCAATTAAGATTTGCTTAAAAGGATCGTAACTGGTGATGAATCATAGCTATATGGTTATGACATCGAAACCAAAGTCAAAAAAGCACGCCAAGTTCCATCAAATGTCAGGGTTTTGCTCACTGTATCACCGTAATCATACCTCAGCCACCGTATTCACCAGATTTGTCCCCCTGCGGCTTTGTTATGTTCCCAAGACTAAAGAGACCCATGCAGGGTGACAACATGCGGTAGATTTCTACTTTTTCGGTAGATTTTCAACACAAATTGAAAAATTGCAGTAGATGATTTTTCGTCAATAGATTTCAGTAAATTTGGATAAGCAAATGACATGAATTCATTATTTTTAGGTTCTGCCCGCTTCGATACACAGAACACAAATTGGTTACAGATCATAAAACATCCATTTCCCGATTGCTTATTACTGTTTTCTGAATATCTCCGACCATAAAGAAAGAAGAAGAAGAAGATAATAACACATAACCTCATTTCACTTTTCGTTTTCAAACATGGAGACATTTTTTTTAATCTTGAAATCTAATACTTGAAATAGTTCAAGTGTTCAAAATAACCAACAACAAAGAACCAACTAGAAATCAATTTGCTATTTCAAGTATTAGACCAAGCCCATTGGCCATACTCGTAATAAGGCCAAGGCCTTCTATATTCAGTCATACTATTCAAATGTCTTTACAATCGCCACCTAGTGGTGGAAAGCTCAAATTTTCACTATGTTGGTGCCCTTTAGATATATTGCAGTATTTTTCAGTAGGTTTCCAATGACACTGTAGGTAGATTTTTCAAATAAAATATGGTCACGCTGGACTCCAAAAAGTGCATATCAGAACTGCTCCGGGGATTGGGAAAAACTCTGGCACAAATGTATTATATCTGAGGGGGGCTACTTTGAAGGGGACAAAATAGAAATTGATGTATACATACATATTTTTTAAGAAAAATGAAAATTCACAAAATTTTTTCAACAGACCCCGTACTTTCCCTTTAATAAGGAGTTGTAAGTTATGAAACAATAAGCAAAACAAATTTTACGGGAAATTTTTGTATTACCAGCGTCACACTTGGGGACCCCTTACAATAACAAGAGAAACTTTTTCATTGCTGTCTAAAAAGTTAGCGCGCCATTGTAATTGTTAGTTTTGAGTGACTGGAGTCATCTCCCGATAATGCCAACTTGGCTAGCGAAACGTGCGTCCAGAGCACTGTTGCTACAGCTACCCCGTACGGGGTAGTTTCACCCCTCTTGAACTCAATTTCACCCTCTCTCCCCTCAAGTAAATCTACCCCGCTCAGATATAAAGCAAAAAAATGAAAAATAAAAATTGAAAAAATGAACAAAAATTTAGGTTTGATTTTGAATCTACCGCGTTACACGAGCCGAGTACCCTTGGCACCGTTGGCGTAGACTGAGTGTCTGGCGCCGCTGGCGGCGGTTCCTTGGGTCAAGTCTAGACTCTTACACCACCGACATATTAAGATTATGTCGATGTCTTACACCGATAGTTCCGATATTCTGTGACTGAGTACTGAGTTACACTACAATACTCTTCTTCTCTTCCAATGATACCGAGCGCTGTGATCATGCTCTGTGCGTGTGAAATGTTATTTGATGTTTGTGACATGACATTCGACATTTTTAGTTAAAGTTGAGAACGTAAATGTGGAAATGTTTATTTTATGTGCAATCTCAGTCTGTGATGTGAATCTAGTTATATGTATAGTCGAAGTAACCGATTTTGTACACTGTTAAAGTTGTCCGCACCTTCAAAGGTCATAAAAAACAACACTTAGAAATGAACCGGCATTATTTCTATGTGTGGACTGTACGCTTGGCGTTTCGTATTGGATAATTTTTACTAACCGAGTTTTGTGGCTGAAGAGTCATAACATTAAATTTGAAGTCATGTTACGGTGACGAATAGAAATCATGGAATGCGGCCTTTGGTTATCGCCGTCGTGTTCACTTCAGGAACTGATCGCGATTTGAGTGTTGAAATTCGATATTGGTGCAGTTATATTTTCTTAAAATTTTTGTTATCTATTTAAAAGGTGGCGTCTTTGGACAAGTACTAATAGTAATAACGAGTGTGATAACAACGTAGACTTTTTCCAATGTAGTGATTCCAATAGCGATGGTGAACAACGCGAAAAAGAGATACAAGGAAATAAGATTCGGATGCATTTGAATATTGAAGCACAGAGAGTATGTTTCAATGTATATAAGAATCTACATCTCAAGTTTGGTTTCGCGGGAAACAAACTATTACAAGCAACATCAGATTTGACTGAAATTCCTTTCTCAACTGAATGTGAAATAGTCAAAAACAAACCTTATGGACGCAAGACGCGATATGATAAAGGATTACCAAAACCTTTAGATCTTCATCTAATAAAATCATTGAAAAAACAATATACGACTGTTACAAAATCAATGAGATTCCTACATTGAAATCATAAGGAAGAAATTGAATACTTCCGGCCATAACGTGAGCTGCTGTGACAAAACTATTCAGAATTGGATTAAGAAAGTAGTATTTAGATTTAAAATAATTATCAAACGTCAAGCAGTTATGGAAAGCAGAAGAATAGTAGAATTGCATAACAAATACTTAGAACTAGTAACTAAATATAGACAAGAACAACGGCAAATTTTCTATTTGGACGAAACTTGGTTTGACACTAACGACACAGTTACAAAAGGGTGGACGGATGGTTCGAGAATGTGTACGCCAAACAAGCCTGCAAACAAAGGATCGCGACTAATCATTGTGCATTGCGGAGGAAGTGAAGGATATGGAAAAAAATTGAGGACTGCAATGTTGACTATCATAAGAACATGGAAGCTAATATTTTCGAGAAATGGTTTGAAAACACATCTATCCCAAATTTGGATGCAATGACATTTGACATGTTTTTGATTACGATCGTCAAATTTATCATAGAACAAAGAGCGACAATCATAGGTATACGTCAATGCGTATACACTCCCTTCCAGAAATCTACCTCGATGGAAAAATGGTTTTGGCAACACTGGTCCAGAGACGTTAGTATTTCTAATCCATTCCATAGGGTGCGTTATATAAATTCATTCAGTGATAGCATCTGATATATTTCGCAATATTTTATCAGATAGAAGTGTGTGTGTGCTACTAATGTTGAGATTAGACTATATTATTTTTAATTAATTAAACCCGTGGCACTATCTTGACTGTCATAAAGAGAAAATATGAAGGCTGGATGAGATATACTTTAGTAGCTGTCATGTCAAATAAAAGGGCCCCAAATTCGTTTTCTGATTTCACAATTGTTATGATTGTTACGAATGACTGAAGGAAATAGCTTGAAAATCCCGTTTCAGATATGCCCTACTATTTATTTTGTAAATGACGTATTACAACTTCACAAATTGTTCTTTTAGATAATTTGACGTATTATAAATTCACACAATTCATTTTGAATATTCGAGAACTAACTAAAGCGATTATATCAACAATTACTTAAGTAATAACGAATTATAAACTGCAAATTGTAGTTTTTATACTATTAGTTTCGAGAAATTTGTGAGAATCCAAGAATTAAACTGATATAAATTGAGAATTGCACGTTTCAATCTGAAAAGTTCGTGATATTATAATTTTTATTGAGGTTAGTTACAAAATGATACGATTTTGATATTTGTTGTAAACATCTAACAGTAATCCTAGTTATCAATCGCAATTTGATATTCCCTCAATTCTCGTTTAGGTTGTAGATATAAATCTGATTTATTTTTTGTCATAAAAAGCAAAACTGATTGTGAATACAATCTTTAGCGAATTCACACTGTAACTTACCGACATTTCAAATAAATCAATCAACAAAATCAAAACAGGTAAACGATACACTTGAAAAGGAAACTTTTTTATATAGAGTGCACTTCAACGGCAAATCTCTCTATACCAATACAAATTCGAAAACTGAGGGAAGTGCAATGCAATATTTATCTCCAATCGATATTGACTGGAACAATGTGAATCATTAGCAGGTCGCTTTTATCTATTACAGATTGAGGTACTTCTGATAAACAAGTCAAACAATATTTTTTTTAGAATGCAAAGCAAACATATTCATCAGAAAATGACTAATGATATTTTTTTTGCATTTCAAACCGTTACTTTGAAATGGTTTTAATTTTTTTGTGTACCATTCATGCTAAGAAATTACCAAAAAATTTGAATCTTTCTATAGGAATTGAAACAGATAAAGGAAGATGAAGCAGGAAACATGCTCATCCAACAAAATTTTCACTTATCACAAGGATGACCGTAAAATAAACTGAACAAAAATCCAACAATCTATGTTCTGAATCGTTACATGGTAACTGACGTTACTGCAGTTTCATCCTATAAAAAAACCCAAAATTGTTTTTATTCTTTCAGAAAAAACAATATGGAAGTGGCATTCAGACCACATGCCAGGTTATCCGATTTCCTTTTATACGCCAAAGATAAAGAAGACAAGATGTAGAAATCTGGAGTTTAGAAGCTGAAATGTCCGTAAAAGTGTTTATGTGGGACAATGTGGCCGAAATTTCCCAAAACGATGTACTGAACATGAAAGGTCCTTCAGTATGCAGTATGCAAGCACTGGTTGTGACGGCTCCTCTTCCTTCCGGAGAAGCCGTCATAACCAGTGCTTGCACTTCCCTACATCAGAGGATTATCGGAAAAGATACGAAGAATTGGGTCCAAGTACAACATCAGAATCTGCTTCAGATCCGGAAACACTATCCGTAGGGCTAGGGCCGCACTGCATAGCTGCCTGGCGAATATCCTGCTATTTATAAACGTGAGTAACAGAACGACGGTAGCCGCAGTGGCCCCCCACTACCATCTAACCTCCAGAAACCATCCGAAGGTACGCCAGGCGCCTATCCAACCTTATCAGTCGTGTTTGATATTCCAGCCGGGTAGCCTAGCTAGGGAGGAAAGCGTAATAAGTTCTGTTTACAAAAAAAAGGGCAATTTGGGACCCAGCAGACCCATTGGGGAAAAGTTCAAAAATTTTGACGACACTGCTGATATAGCTTCTCTGAAGTTCGTTGAAGTTCTTTGCAATTTGCGAATGCCTCAACTGACATCTTTAAATACAAATAAAATTTGTCAGGGTGTTGTCCTAATTTTTTTGTAGACTCTCACGAATTCTCCGTACTGTTGACGCTTCAAATTGTAAGTATGCACCCACGGTTTTTTTATAAAACTATTTGCCACTATAATTCTCGAATATGAACTTAGTAAAATTTTTGTCGCAACTTTAGAGAGAGGCATGATTGTTACTTTTCCGCTGTCAGTTGAATACTGGCTTCATTTCACTGCGTCCAGGATGCATTGCCCATCCACCCTTCAAGCGACCATGTAGCATCCTGCAATGCGGCCCCGGGTTAGCAGCCTCACGAAAACCAGGCCACCTAACGAGAACTGCGATTCCAATAATTGCATTTACAGGATATCCTGTGAGTGCGGAAAATCCTATATCGGTGGAACTAAGAGGCCATTGAATGTTCGCATTTCCGAGCACAAGAAACACACACAACGAGGGGAAACCAGCAAATCAGGAATATCCGAGCATGTTTGGACCCATCAACATAACATCGAATGGTCTCAAGCTGAGATCATACACAAAGGTAAACGTTGGTTTAGGAGGAAATTTAAAGAAGCCGCATACATGTTATTCAACAATGTATTCAGCCAAGCTAGCATAGAGATACACAACATATGGAAACCCATAATCAAGCGAAAAATGGCCAACTCCCGCCAAACGGTCATCTCCCACTAAACCAGTGAAGCGGAAAAGGGAAAGCAGAGAAAAGTGAAAGTAGTCAGTTTTCAAATTAGCGTACCCACATTCTCACAGGTAAACAAAATTCAGGTACTTAATTAAGTTAAGTACCTCTGTTATTACCTACAGTGGCAACACTATCAATTATTTTCAGTTTATTGTATTCGTTTGAAAATGTCCTTAAAGGACGAAACTGCAGAAAATACAAGTGGTAAAAAACATAGAAAGTTTTACTTCTCATTTTTCATAAAAGTTTGTTCTTTATAACTCCTTATGAAAGATGGAAATCAAACATATAAAACAAAGTCATAAATATCCCTCACAGTGTTATTTACAACGCTGCGAACAAGAAAATCAAACCTTTCATAACTAAGCCATAATGCAATTAGACTGCGGAATTTTGCGAATCAATCCACTGCAGATGATGAAAAAAATCACGGGAGAGAAGAGCCAAAATCAGTGTTGCCAGGTCGACTGTTTCTGCAACGGATCTCCTGTTTTGATTCCCAAGCTCATTTATTTTCGGGCTTGTTCTTTTTGGGACAATTTGCCGGTTTAGCCTAGCACCACTGATGAGCCCATGGCAAGTCGAAATAGTGCGTCTGGTGTTGGATCGCAAGTTCATTCAACCCCTCAAAATTTTGTTTACTCTACACCAAAATAGATTTTTGAATATCTTGTGCTCCGTTCAGGTTTGGTATCAAAATTAAGGGTTCCCATTTCAAAAAACCAAGTTGACTTGGAAATAACCTTCTACATGAGATTCACGGTCCAATCCGATTCAGCCATCAGATGCCACGTTGAAAGACACCTAAGGTGTGACCTTTTTTATTTCAAGCGGTTTCCTACTGTTTCCTCACTCGGTATAAAAATAAATAGACGTCAAATTCTCGCCATCCGTACTATGATAGATACTGAACATATCACCATGTATTAGAATTTTATTATAAAGTTCCTTGCATTTGCATAGACAGAGAAGGCTATACAAATACATTTGACTTTTCATCATGTAGATGCCATGGCATGTGTAAGCTTTTGGTATTCGAAGAAACTAACTCAAATATGGTAATAGAAGCGCACTTGGAGGTTATGTAGTCAAAAGGAATGCATTTGTTAAATTTTATCAGGAATTATTTAAAGCTACCTTACCCATAATGTCACTCAACTAACATCAGGTTCGTTAGTTTGTGGGGCTCTAATTTTTAAAATTATTCCTGAAACAAAATTGGAATATTTTATATCAGTTGGAATATTTGAATATCCTTTCATATTGCACATCTACAACATAAAACGAACATACATAGAAAGTGATGAAAAGTAATTTTCATATGTAAACGCACCCCTTCTACCCCCACGAAGACCGCCCCAGTCATAATTGAAAATCCTTTGTTAGTGCGCATCTAATAATAATAATTATAATTCTTTATTCTCCAGAAGGACAATACAAGTATTGTATAGGAGTAGTCGTTTATCTAAACAACACCTATATACCAAATTTTAGTTTCCTAGGACTCACCATTACGGAGAAACAGAGTGTTAAGTGAGTGATATTTGCATTTTCAAGTACAGATATACAGTGCATTTCTTGAATGTCTCCCCCTTTTATTTTTTGAACGGATCAACTCAAAAAACTGAAACTGATGCATGAATACTTTATTTTGAAGTGAAATTGATAGATGAAACTCTCAAGAAAGCGACTGGGCGCCATCTGGGAAAAAAATTAAATGGAAAGGGGGGTCTTGTGACAGATCATTTTGAAGCTCCTGACAAAGGCTTCACACCCTAGAATATAATGTCAATATCTTCAACTACTACAAAATCGCGGAACTTTCAATAATTGCCTGAATACATTGACATTTAACTACATAACATGAGGTAATAAG